CAGGGACGCTGGGGCTGCCCCATCCCTGGCAGTGTTCAAGGCCAGGTTGGACACAGGGGCTTGGAGCAACCTGCTCTAGTGGAAGGTTTCCCTGCCCATGGCAGAGGGTTGGAACTAGATGAGCTTTAAGGTCCCTTCCAACCCAAAACACTCTGTGATTCTATAAATATCAGATACACAGTCCTGCAAAAGATGTTAGAAGTTTGCTTGTTTTTCTCCAAGTTGCCTACTTCTCACTTCCCTTCTTCTGAGGGTCACCTAACATTTTTTACTCACTTGGATTGTTTTGGAATCAGAGTTTCTGTAAGTGTTTGTATTGTTGTAATGACTTTGGAGCAAACAGCTGAACCCTACAGCTAACTCAGTGAACACTGAGTTTCTTTGCCCTTGGTATTCTCTTTACATTGTGTTGTCAAGATCAGGTATTGGCTTAGAGGAAGAAAAACTAGGAAAATTCATAATATGCTCTAATAATAAATTTAACATTACAGAAAGCAAGAACCAAGGGAAAAACCATCCTCTTTTGCCTACTTCTCTATAATGTCAGCCTTCACTCAAGTCTCCTTTCAAAACCAATTGCTGGAATGTCAGCCTGACCTGAAAGCCAACCTTGGGCTATTTTAGACACATGAATTTTTCACACATGGCTGTGAAAGCTCAATATCCTGTCTTGTCTTGCATTCCATAGTGTTCCGTGACCTGTGGGGAGGGAACTGAGACCCGGCAGGTCATGTGCCGTGCTGGTGACCAGTGCAATGGAGAAAAGCCAGAAGCAGTGAGGGTTTGTAAACTCACTCCCTGTAACGGTAAGAGAATGTCTCAGAATTACTGTGGGTATTTTATGGGTGGGGGGTAGCAGTTTTATAGGATGAGGGTCACAGACATTTCTGCTTCAGTGCAGCCTGTCAAGAGAGCACAGTGCTGGATAGAGATACTAGGCACCCTTCCTTGGAGATTATCCCATTTTTTTTCCAGCTGAAGTCTCCCTGTTGTTTAGTCCAGCACATTACTGATACCATAGCTGCAGGTGATCTGCGCTTCTCACGCACTTGTTTTGTAAAGATGATAAAATAGGGGGTCAAGCATGTGAGCCAGAGGTGCATGGGCAAAAATTTGGGCTGAGATTTTGGTGAAGGTCAATCCAAATTAAACCCTGCTTGACTTCTAAATCCCAGGATAAGTTTTACAAGCTACCAATTGAGGAAATGAAAAAAAACCATCATAAAAACGGAAGCACAGAGCACTGATAAGGTTCCTGGGAATCTCATTACATTGTTCTCATAGTGTTTTCTTAACAGATTTTTAAGCTTTCGATGACAACAAAGCCTTTCTTCCTTTCTGTCTGTGACGCTAAGATTTGGGGGTTAGCTGGTTTTTAAATCCTTCATGGTAGTCGTCACTAGCTGGTAGAAAAAATACAGTAAGGATGCTTTGAAGGTGCCAACATGCTTTCACACAGAATGACTCTAATTGTTTCCCTAAGTCTGGTCAAGGTGTCTGCTTTTGCCCGTGTTTTCTACCAGTGAAAGAACTCAGGGCAGAAAACAATTCTAAAGAGTTATAAAATGTTTTACCCACTAGGTGGGAGCAAACCACTACCTGTGACTCTCTAAACAAGTGCAAGATTCAAACCCCTGGTTTTCCCCGGTGAGAAATCTGACTGTAAGCGTGTCAGAACTTTCGACAAGGGCCTGGAGGGACAGGACAAGGGGAATAGCTTTAAACTGGCAGACGAGAAATTTAGCTTAGATGTAAGGAAGAAGTTCTTCCTGTGCAGGTGGTAAGGCCCTGGCACAGGTTGCCCAGACAAGCTATGGCTGCCCCCTCCCTGGCAGGGTTTAAGAGCAGGTTGGACAGAGGGGGTTGGAGCAACCTGGTCTAGTGGAAGGCATCCTTGCCTTTGTATTTCCCATGCGAAATTTCTGCTGAAAATTGTCAGCAATGAGTATGTCCCTGTGCAAAGCTGTGGATTTAATGCTAAGTTTGCAAGAACCACCAAACATCTATCCAAGGAAGCACATCAGGGGTAGGAGCAAGGGTAATCTTTACATGACTTGCTACAGTCATATAATTTGCTATTTCTAAACAAGGTCCTACAACCCCAGTGATGTATGTGTGGAATTCGACTGAGTTCAGTGGAATTAAACTGATTGACACTGATGGAGAGGTTGGACTCCAGTTAATATTGGATAACAGGAAAACTTGGTCACCCCACCTAGTGTTGACATGTGGTGAGGCAGCGTCTGTACACAGGTGACAACATATCACAGTACAGAAAGCAAATTTAATTTCAGAGCTGAAAAAGTGGTGTCACATGCCATCTGTTGCTCAGTGAGATGTTCACGACATAACTGCTAACTGTGAATGGAAGACAAGACGTGGAACAGACTTTCTCAATAGCTGGGGTTAACTTTTGTCTTTCTGCATTAAAGTTTTGCATACTCCTGTTTTAAGTGAAATCCATCAACAGCATTTCAAGCCAGCCATGATATCTGGGAAGAACTCTGCTAGTGGAAGGTCTTTGCTGGTCTCTCACCAGGACACATGTTTGAGTAGAACCTGACACTACAGCACATAGCCTGTTTGAGGGTATCTAGAGATGTCTGTAGGAAGGGAATTACTGATTTTAAAGTAGGAAGATGCTCTTCTGCGTGGTGTTGACCTTGCTGCAGGGCTGGACAAGGTGGCCTTCTGAGAGGCCTTCCTGCATTACTCAGTTGGGCATTCATGCTGCCAAGGTGCACAGTATTCCAAACTACATGGATAAATAACAGCATAAATGAACAGCAGGATGAGTTAGACACAGGGAGGAGAATAAAAAGGAAGTATTAAACTTCCCAATTGCAAAATCTGCAGCTCATTTCAAATGCCCAGAGCCAACCTCCCACCCTCCTCCGTGCTGTGACACAGCTCTGCTCAGATACTGACAATTGGACTTGTTTTCTGTGAAATGAGAGTGAAGTTTTAATTTCAGCTCACGTTCCCATACAGAATACCAAACCACCCACAGTATAGGGTATTGACTGTGTATGGACTGACTGTACCTTGGTACCTTTCTCCATTTGTGGAACAAATACCCAGCAAATGCCTAAAGAGATGTTGACATTTTGGGGATCTCTGACAGATCTTGGACCTATGAAAGATCTTTTCCCTGACTGAAAGCAATGCCACACACTTAACTTCAAGGCATTGTACATCTCACCTATCTGTTAAGAGCTTTCCTTCGCTTCTCCAGTCACTGAAAAACTCAGACTATCCAAACAAAGCTTTATCCAACTATAACATTTTAAGACATCATCTAAAAGGCTTCTTTGAGAGATACTTCTTGGGATATACTTCTTTAATGGAAGATTTAATTGTTTTTAATGCTATTGCTAGGTATGTCCTCAGGCTAGAGGTGACCTGGGGGTGGATAGAACTACATCTGGCCTGGTATGTGGGAGCTCTAGTAGGTCAGCACTGGAAACTGTCTGTAGCCTTTCGCAAATATAATATGCCCTTCCACAACTCTTTGCTTCTGGTTTGTGCAGAACTGATGTTTTCCAAGTGACGGCCAATTTCTTTGGTTCCAAACTAGGATTATTTTTGAGGGTCGTTCAGGGCATGAAGCATCTCAGATTGTCTATTTAGAGCAGCCCACCATTTGTGAAACATGCTGTTGGGGCATTTCAGTGCTCTTCACTAGATCTGCCATCAACATGATGTTTGTTTTGCAGATGAGCCCTGCCTGGGAGATAAATCCATCTTCTGTCAAATGGAGGTGCTTGCACGGTACTGTTCCATCCCTGGCTACAACAAGCTGTGCTGTGAGTCCTGCAGCAAGCGCAGCAGCACCCTCCCACCACCATTCCTCACAGAAGCTGCTGCAGCTGAAGAGGAAACAACATTCGATCAGAGCCACCTGCCTGGGACACTGATGGTGCCAACACTGGCAGTGTCCCACCAGACGCAGTTCCTGCCTGGGAGGAGCAATCTGGTCAGGCTTCCTTCTGGAGAAGAAGACACCAGTCCACGCATCTCCCCATCCAACACCAAGCCCAGTGGGGCTGAGTTCCCACAGTGGAGAGTTCCTCCGGCAAAGAAGACTTCTAGGCTGTTGGCTTTGCTGCACCAGTCACCTGCCAACAGCAGCAGTCTCAGTCCTCACCATGCCCTTGGGTTGGCAGCGGCCATTCCTGCAGTGCCAGCTAATAACACCATAGCAGGGGCTCCTTCTCTATCACGAACCTCGAGGAAGAGCGAGAAGCATATTGAGAAGAGGTGGTCTTCAAGGTCCTCTACTGTGGAACGATGAACATGAATGCATTGCAAGGATAGCCATTGAAAGAAGCTTGGTTTGGTGCTTTGGGTTTCATTTCCATACTTCTAGACACTATGGTGCATGCTGCTTTCCACAAGCAAGACACTGTAGGTCATCAACTTATATTCCTTGTAAATACAAAGAACGAGAAGTGCTGGTTCACTTTCTAGTTGCTCCTCCTGTCCTTCTCCCATCCTGCGTTACCTGGCTGGCTTGAACGCATTGGAGGAACACACCAAAGGATACTCCTCATGGTGAGCAGATGTTGCTGAGAGCACCAGTCAAGCTCCAGTACAGAAAAGTGGCCCTGACCTCAGGGTTCTAAACACTCCCATGTAGAAAAGGACCCACCACAAGAGGTACCAGATGTTTACACTCTACAAAATACTTTTGCAATGGAACAAGGGAATCCTAAGACTTGTTTTGCTAATTTATCTATAGAAACGGATCTTGTATGAGCAACTTTGTACCGTTGTGTAAATCCTGTATATTGCAGAAAAGCAGTATTATTTTTAAGAGGTTTGTGCTGTCAGACAACTGTTGACCTATGTTGCATTCTGGACAAGTGCTAGGTGCCTGCCACTGAGTGCTGCCTTATTGCCATTCCAAGAGCTGATGTATAAAGCAGCATTGTCATGAAAGGAGGAGTTCCATTTTCAGATGAATTACATCTCCTGACACTAGGAAAGGGTGTTTACCAACAGTGTGATGCTTTCTTTTGAAATGAGGGAAAATGCATGAACCTAAAGGTCTAGTTCTAGCCCATGAAAAGTAGGTTTAGAAACTTTAGTGTAACTCCGGTCACAGGTTGGAAAAATCATTTTATGTGCCTGTGAGATGAGCACTGAGCTGGCATCACCTAAGTGTCGGGGCAGCAGTGCCGTTCCTTAGGTCTCCCTTTGCTGAAGAGGTCAGACTGGAGTAAAAAGAAGCCATGTAAATACTGTAAGTACTGTAATGTTCATCAATCAAACACGAGTTCTGTTCTCCAGCTGATCTCTGAAGCTGAGAAAGCATCACAATACTAGAATAGGCACTAACAAGAAATAGCTGTGACAAGAAATCAGATTTATTATTGTTTTTCCAACTGGAAGCATTGATTTCAAGGTGAGAGAGATATTTATTTTTCAGCAGGGTTCACCTCAAAGCTCCACAACCACAATGCATCTGACTGCAAGAACGTGCTAGTACTTTATGTTGATACCCATCTTGTTCACAGTCTACCCGATCGCACTCTCTCCTGTGTGTTGCTGTAAAGTACTTGTATATAGAATTGAGAACTAAAGATATTTATTAAAAGTGGATTTCTTGATAGTATTTTATGTACTAAATATTTACACTAAGGGCAATTGACTGTTCTTTTTTTCTAAGATAAAATAGAGATGTGTAATTAGCCACATGTACATGCTATGTCATATGGATAGAACAGAAATTTAAGCTAACTAAACTACTGTAGAGAAATTGTTGATCTTCTGCTTTAAACATAAGTAAGTCTTACGACAGCTTTTTTATTCCAAGCATCTTTAATTTCTAATCAGGTTATTGAAGTTTCATGTGCGATTTCTGCTTCCTCATAAAGAGCCCTCATGATTGACCCATTTAAAAGGCCAGTGAGTACATCCCCCTAAAATGCTATCAAGTAGATCAGGACCCTAAAGATGACATTCTAGAAACATCAGTAGTGATTATGCAGAGTCGCCAGGAAGAAATAAAGATGAAAATTTTGGAAAATTAAGGATGAAGACTTTTGAAGGAGAATGTTGGTAGGCTGATGCTGTTGGGGGAAGTCCAGGGTCATAGCATGCATTGCACTGTGTGCCATCTAACCCACCAAAGTACTGACACCCCTACAGAACTGCTGCTGCCTTTCCACAGGACTTTTGAAGGGCCAAGAAATCAGCTTTAAGCAGATGGTGCAGAGCCTCAAACAGACAAATAGGGCGTGTTTGTTTCTTTATAATTCCCCCAAAGGCAAATTCTCTTTTCTCTGTCTTTCTCTTTTAAGCATATACAATGTGGGTGTAGATAATCCTTGTACCTCTTGGATTTCTTTTCTACCAAGCTAATTTCTCTTTCTGTCAAACGTACACTACTGACTGACACTGTTTGTTGTATTGGGGAGCATGTAACAATAAAATCTTTCACGTAAGAAGCCTTTCTCTGGTCTGATTCACATGGGAGGATCCAGCTTCTGCATTTTCAAGCTATGTCTTCTGTAAAATGAAGAGCTGTTTATATCCCAGGCATGACTGTTGCAGCCTGGGGGAGGAGAGAAGAATTCCACACAGTTCTGTCAAGGTAAGCCTCCACTTTTGCCCTTTGTTTTTTTTTAACCGAAGCCCAGAAAATTAGTACTAAGAAGATACAACATAAATTTCCAACCCACTGCATTGACAAAAGAAGTTTGTATTGCTCGGTTTGGCTTCAGGTCTCAGCTAAACCTCTGCTGTACAACATTCCTGTATATAACCTCGTTCATGCTACATTCAGGCTGAGAGAGCTGGTCTTGTTCGGCCTGGAGAACAGAAGGCTCCAGGGAGACCTTAAGGCAGCTTCCAGTGCCTAAAGGGGCTACAAGAAACCTGGAGAGGGGCTTTTGAGATGGGCCTGTAGTGACAGGGCAAGGGGAAATGGCTTTATACTGACAGAGTTTAAATCAGTCTGTGATTCTGCCAAAAATTACATTCTCTGAGTATGTTCTTGACAGTTTTGAGCTGGGCAAGTAAATCTGAAGGAAGTGTCTAGTTGAATTCAAATTCTCATCAAGAGCATGAATACTGATATTTTATAAGCAAGTCTTAAAGTGCCATTTAAGCCCCACTAGAGAGTGCTAAAAAACTATTAATCCCAGCTCAGCATGGATACTTTTAGGGTACATGGCTTGTAACTGGCAATAACAGCACTTGTAAACCACACTGGGTTTCCACCTCTGGAATGGCAATGCCTGATAGGTGTCTGTTTGAATGGGAAATGGCAAATTGAGCTGCTCTTGCAACTTAAGCATGTTGCCAGATGAGAGCTTCCTGTTAAAATACTCTTTACATATCTTTGAAAAGACAATTTGAGCCTAGAATAATTGGAATTGTAACCAAGGCAGAGACTTCAGCAGCTTTAACCAGCATCTTGGGAAGATGCTGAAGATCTCCTGACAAGAAAGGGGGCCCCAAAACCCCAACCTGGAGCTGTGTCTGAGCTGTAGCTGTGCATGGAAGATGGCCAAATGAAATATGAAAGTACAAATATAGATATTTGTATATATATAACACCAGTGCAAAAATAGATCTGGGGCTTTGGTGGGCTAAACTGGAGAGCAGTGAAAACATCCTAACAGTGATGGTATTGCAGAAAGACAGGCTAATATTAACAGTAATAATCATTAAGCTTCAGTTTCCAGAGATTAATCAATACATTTCTTAACATCAGCTTGACATAAGAACAGAACTAAACACTATATATGTTGTTTAAAAAACTGTGTTGTTTTTGCATGCTGCAGAATGTGGCTTTGCAATATTAAGGCATCACAATATTGGGGCTGGGACTAAGTTACAAAGGGAATGAAACAAAGGGTTTGAAATACCATGACTTAAACAGACACTCTGTAGTAAAAGACAGTGTCATCTCTGGGCGACAGACACACTCTGTTGTTAAAAAGAATGCTATCTTTGTACAGCCTATGAAACTGGTTCTGTAGTTAAACAGTAAGTTGGGGTACCACATGTCTGCCAGAGAGTTATGAAATCAAACCATAAAAGGAGATAATAAGAGGAAGGGGCGTACAAAATCAAGTAGGGGGAGATGTAAACAGAGGCGGGACAGTTGGCACGTAGATTAAACATGTTGGATAGGCTGTAAACCTTGGAGTACCCAACCAGTGGGGAAACAAGGGAGGGAACTTGCGGACGGGATATGAAATATAAATCAAAGTTCCACCTTTGCTGTGGGTGCCTGCTTGCTAGGACACCTGGTTTTGCAAAAACGTTAGTAAATAGCT